TGGTCTTTTACGATCGCATCGTTACTGTGACGAAATGGGTGAAGAACAACATCAATGCATTCTCCCAAAACCCAAAATGAATGCATAGGCGACTGTTTTTTGGACGAAAAGGTGTAATTTTGGTGGACTTCCTGGAAAGAGGACTACAGTGAAACTCTCAAAGGTCTTGCCAAACTCTCCAAAAACTCAGGAGCAATAACAACAAGCGGAGGAATGTTGAGCAAGATCTTGTTGATTCACAACGCTGGCCCCACACGGCAAATGTCACTCGTAAAGTTTTGAATCTTTTAAGTGGAGTGTTTCCTCATACCGCCGTCCTGGCAGCAAAGAAATGCAGCGTTTTGATGAACGCACAGCGAAGTGGTTGAAGGCGCAGGCGGCCGAATTTTTCGACGAAGAATTTCCAACTCGTACAGATAATGCTTAATTTGTATGGTGACTAGTAGAAAGTAGTATTTAGTGGCTTTCATCTGTATATAAAAAATTTGTTTCCTATACTTGTTTATTTTTTATAAATGTGGTGGTCTCTTCTTATGGAGGCACCTAATAGGTGGGGCATCATCGCCTTTCCTATGAAGGGACGGACGTTACATGCCTTCTCCGACGTTGCCTCAATGTGGAAAGAAAGTTATGTAATGGTGTAAATGTAAATAAGTTTCTATTGATAGCAAGCACCATTACAGGTGCAAAAGCAACGTTTCACAACAGGATATTAATATAAACTGCAGCAATAAGGGATGTGAATAAAACTGCAGCAAATAAGTTTTAGGCAGGAACCCGAGGATGGAACGACACTATGAAGTCTCAAACTTATAACACATGAACTACTACCAATGAACCGAACTAATAAACAGAAATCCAATGACTGTACTATATGTATCAGTAATTACAGACAATCATATGTAATAATTGAATAACAATGTAACAAACAGAATTATAATGTACTAGAAAGCAAAATCTGTATGTAAAACCAGAAAATGCATGTAATCATATGAATAGCCCTTGTAAGGCCATCTTTATATTAATTCTATGAATTAATAAATACTGGGCCCGGGCGGTAGGATGGAGTGAACTCCCGGGGGCAGTTTTGGTTAGTTGGACAGCCACCGGGGTGAATTAGGCGTTGGGTTTGGGCGCCAGGTGTGGGGCCCTTATGTGGCTTCAGGGGTTGTTTTAGATAAAGGTGGACGTGGTGCTACACCAATTAACCTATGGTGGAGGGGAGGTGCCCACGTCCTCCGTCACATGTCGCATGTCGCATGCCTTCTCCGGGATTCGAATCACAGGCCCTTCGGCATCACAGTCAGCTTCCCTGACCACTATACCGACTGGACGGCACATATTGTGATATTATAACTTCAAAAATCTGTAAAAATGCCTAAGAACTTGTTAAATTAAATGCAATTAGCATTTTAACCAAGTTATACATATTAATTTAAAAAAGTCTTAAAACATGTTTATATCGAAACTGTATACTGTACCTGAGACACAGAAATCTAATTCATATCTACGCAGACCATTCTGTACTTAATATATGCATAGCTCTTAACGCCACAGAATTATGGATAGGGTTATGCATAATTTCATATTACTTCAGCAAGCTGTGGAAAATTTTTGTATGACTTTACTAAATGTTATTTCAAGCAAAATTATAACAAAGCCCCATCATTATCAAGGAAAATGAGGCGACTGGAAATTTATAGTAATCGTTCAGTCTAAAATTAAAGAATCGACGAAACAAGGCATTAGTAAGATTTCTTAAACTATTTAAAAAAGTAGTATCATGTACGTTTTTTAAATTGATAAGCAAATGAGATTTTTAGATTATACTTAACCACTATCACTTATTAAGCTGACTGATAGTTTAGTAAATGCTCTGATATTACAGAAAGTAAGCCAAAATAAATCTTTCAAAAATACATTTTTTAAATTTTGACTTTAAAAAGAAACAAGTATTGCTTATTCCAAAATTATGTATAATATGTTTAGATTTGTAGCATCAAACTTTAGTAAATAAATATAAAATACGTAAATTAAGTCTTAATAATTTAATAAGATAAAATACGTAAAAAGACTCGGCTCTTTTTTAAACAGAAAATTTTCAAATGGTATCTGTTAAATAGTTTTAAGTCAGGCTTATCAGTATTTTTCTTACATGTTGCTTTCCGTTTATGTCAATAATATTATACGTAATCATTTCTTTTCAGAATTATATCTGTTAGCAACATAAGTACTTTTCAGAAATGTGAATTCGAAGAGACGTTTACATGAGCATATCCATAGACAGACAGAATCTTCTAAAAACAGATTTGTTCCTGTAATATGGTTGGAAACTGGAAAATAGGTAAATTTTAAAGAAGTTATTTTTTGCCGATATTAAATGTTTAAACCTTCAAAGATTAAAACAGATGTACGTCAGTACACTTAAGGAACTTCGAAAAATTGACCAATTTCATTCTTCAAAGTTGTAGCAAGGATTTATAAAATAACTCAGGAAGCAAGAGTATTTAAAAAACAAAATAAAATGAAACATGAAGCTGAGGAGTAGCTATCACAATATGAGTATGCTGCGAGAAAGTTAAAAAAAAGTGTTTAAAATGTTAAATGATAGAGCGACTCTTTTCGTTTTTCTAAATTTTTTTTTAAATTTAAGCCCATTTTTCTAAAGTTCTATCCGACATTGTTTGACCTTTTATTTTGCTTTGTAACATTACTTGTCTAAATATATTTCGTGAACCTATTTAGTTCATTTCAAAAAGAAATAAATTATCGACGCTGTGATTTTGTGTAAAATATGCTACATTTTTTAATAGTTTGTATTCTTATATAAAAATAGCGTGACTTCAGTTCCTGAATATATTTATAAATATCAATGGCAATTCGAAATTATTTTATGAATTATGAAAAAACAATTATGGGTATCTAAGTGTGATCACGTATCTAAAATTTAGCATTTCAATCACCTTTCAAGATTTCTTCCCGAAAATATGATACTGAGGATAAAAATTAATTTTTTACTTTAACTGAATAATAATAATGTGCGCATCTTATTAATAAAGCATTTTAACTATGCAATGAGTTTTACTAAGAAAGTAATGGGTTTAATAATAATGAATGCTCGAAAATGTCTTACTTCCCTTAAACAATTATTCAAAATAGTTATTCAGTTGAATAAGATAGTGCGTTATGTTAAATCCAAATATTTTGTTGACGTAAGGATAATAAAACCGTGAATGTGTCAAACGTACAGCATTTTAGACAATAATGAAAGCGAAAGGTTATAATAAGTAATCGATGAAATATTTACGTAATTATAAATAAAATTGACGACGTTCAGCTAAACAGTGAAGAAGTGCATACAGAACAACTCAAAATGGCTTTCCTGAAACTCATCAGAGCTGCTACTGCAATAATCCTGTAGATCAGACTTTCTCAACCGGTGGTACTCGTATCACTGGTGGTACATAAAGTTACAAAGTATTCTTACTATTAAATTCAAATATCTCGTGAAGAAAAAGAACAATTGATAGATATTTCCTGTGATCGAACTCCACTTGAAGATTTCAAAAATAAAAGACTTGTTAACTTTTGGTTGAACCAAAAAAAAAAAAAAAAAAAAAAAAAAAAAACAATTTAAAGGAATTTCAAATAAAGGTATTAAATTTTTATTGCCTTTCTGCAAAACCTATTTGTGTGAAGAAGAATTTTCTTCCATGTTGTATTTGAAAAAGTAAATATAGAACAAAATTAAAAGTGTGCGTCCTTATTTACGGTTAAAATTAAGTGAAATAAGACCAGACATAAAATATTTATCTGTCTTAAACAGGCCCAAATTTCCCACTAAATTTTAGAATTAAAGTTTTTATCATTAGAATAGTAACCAATTTTTAATCGAATACTTTTATGTGTGCATATTTAATACAAATAGCAAACAGGTTGTGAAAATGGCAAAATATACTTTTTTTAATATTGAGAAATTGAAAAATAGTCATTGTAAAATGTAAGGGTGGTACTAAAGTTTTTCAATTTTTGTTTAGATGGTACACGTTAGTCAAAAGCCTGAGAACCGCTGCTCTAGATCTTGCTTTGAAAAACTATGAAAGTGATTACAATTTCCATTCAGGAACTGAACCAAAGTTTCTGAAGCTATTATCAAATGTTTTCAGATTAGGAATAGAGATGCTTAAAAAAGAGTAGCAACTGGGAAAAATCTCATCGGAATAATTCAAAGAAATGAAGCAAATATGGCTTAGGTTTCGCTCTGTATTACAGGCCAAAGATTCTCAGCAACAGATTTCAGTGAGTATTATACTCGTACTTCAGATAATATTCAATTCCTGACTCATATGCCAGAATTCATACACACAGAAAGCTTTTATGTGTGCATTCCAATATACGAATAATTCCGTATATCTTGTCATCAGCTTATTAGCGGTCTTTCTTCCTTTCTAAACACTTTCCCTGAAGTAGCCACCAGTTCACAATCTTCTGGTATTAGCTCAGGAAGTTGAAAACGGATATTATAAATATTTTGTCAGGTAAGGAACAGATTTTTTACCTTGCATTTACAATCTTGTTAATTGAAATAATTTATTTTCGTTTAAAAAATTTCTTTTGATGACAGATGACGGATACTTTAAAAGCATTTTTGTTGCATTTCTCAAAAAAAACCGAAGTCGGCGATAAATTGTCACTAGATATTTATGTTAATCATGTGCAGTCTCTAAATGTACTCGTAACAGAGAATCATCGTCTTTAACTATGGAACCGTGAAAACGGGTGGATTCGTTTTGTATGTGATTACTAAATTACTTTAAAGTCCAGTGGTTAAGGCATTATACATAATAGTAATTTACTTTTATTTTAAATGAATTTTTATTAAAAAAAGTTTGACTTGTTAATTATATTCAGCTATGAACCGTACGGCAACAGTTAGGCAGATGCTTTTAATAAATTGAAGTGAAGAGAATACATTCGAATTATTCATTCGTTTTTGACTACGAAACTTAGTTGAGGGATTTCGTTTTTAATTACTTTGTTTTAAATCGGAAAGAATTTATTGACAGTGAAGTGTTTTGGAAGCAAATTTAACTCTTTTCCTTTTTTCAGAATTTCATGCTCAGATTATTCGTAAGTAGATTTATTATTGTTCTAACTGTCGTACTTCTAAATCGATATATGCTTTGGCAGTATTATTGCTTATATTTTTTTCAAACTTTAATTGGCGTGAATGGTTCCTACAGAATGAACAAGTAACACTTTTTGTTATCTTTGTTTCAAGCAATGGTCATTTACTCACAAGCAATTATTAATAATTTCACTTTAAGATAAAATATACTTGATATTTTTATTAAAAATGAGAAATATTGCAAGATATATGTTTGGTTTACGGTATACATGAATAAAAGCCTTTTCAGTTAAATTCTGGTACTATGATTTCTGGGACCCTTAGCATACCATCTGAAGGCATATAGCATGTAAAAACACGCTTTTTACGTAACACTCTGTTGTTTGCACTTTATTCCTTATTTCAGAGGTAGAGGACCATTTTTTAGCTTATAATTACTTAGTTACACTTCCTTTTTGCAGGTTCTACAATAGATGTATAATTTGAAATATCCATAATGCAGCTTGTTTTCCAAGCATAATTTGAATTTCATTATATAACCCTAACTTGAATGGTTATCTCACAAATACTCCGCGAGCACTTTTGTGCTATCTGACTGAAAGCATGAGTAACGGAGCAATAAAAATCCGTTTTTTGGATCTATGTTACCAATATAATTCTTGAATGTATATTATTTTATTTTTACTCGCCGTTGTTTGCCTGCAAATAAGATAAAATATTTCTGTAGTGCTTTGCATGTTTTATAACTTGGTGTGGTTTACATCATTTTCCAATTATTTTATAGAATGACAAATATATTAGCACGTTGATTCAATTAAAGAACGATAATTATTGCCGAAAATTTCAGACTGAAAGTGTTTCACGAATTCAGACTACGTTTAATGAAACTGCAATATTCAACTTATAATGGATATAACTTCTTATAACGTGTCTTGATCATAGTATCCATTCGGAAAATATTAAGACGTATAGTTCCCAATGGATACCGTGATAGAAGAATTTGTATGAAACTTGTACCATTAGAAAAATTGCAAAAAAAATACGGTAGTTAACATTGAATGAGTTATGATGTTCTGCGTAATAAACCAGAAGCGTAATAAAAGTAATAAGTCAATTTGTTTGCAGGTACAGGTAGGCACAAGCAAATACCATGGGTCAATTGGTAATGTTCTCTCATATTAACTCCCAAGTATTTGCAGCAGAAGAACGTAAAGTTGCATTTTATAAAGGTTACATTTTACAAACGTAAATTGTTTACTATATTCATATAAACAAGATAACCACCGACTTTCAAAAAGGGTAAACTATGTTGTCTGTTTTAAGTACCTAAATGAATGAAATACCTTGATAATTCAAAATGAAAAGTTATTAGTAAATGTGAATGAGTTCCGTTTAAAGGATAATAACCAGTCTTCTTAATGAACCTTAGAAAATATGCATACATCCCTGCCAAGACATGTAGTAGTATTAATGGAAAGAGCATAATGTTTCCGTGTGTTGGATGTTATTACTTGTACGGATTTGAGGTCATGTCTTCGGAATTTAAAAACTGATAATTTTAAACTTACCATTCCTCTGGAATTAAAAAAAAGTGATCTAAAAAAATTGAAGTCAATTCCTCCTTAAGTTAACAAAGAAAAATTTTATATTATTTACTTTTTATTAACATTATTAATTTTTTTTTTCATTTCTAATTTATTGGCTCTTTCGAATGTAGCGATTTGTGCACTTATTCTTCTCAGTGCTTGTGAATGTTGAATACGTTGTCGGTTAATCTTTGGATTATGGTAACTTGGCAATTTTTTAGCGAAAATTTGGCGACCAACCATGCTACAGCAACCTGCTAGTTTTTGTTTTGACGCCATTTTGTTTTCACGAAGTAAAGGCATTTTTTTTTAATCAACATTTTTTTTTCCAACAATCTGCTAGCCGAATTACGCTTCTGCTAGAACTTTTATGGAACAAAAGTGCTTGATCATGGCGAAGATTAGGTGCGAAATTGGGAGAAAGTGCAGAATCGCCCAACTGCTGCTTGCCGCGTTTTTTAAGAATTGCACATACAACGGTATCATCCATGTACATGTCGACCTATTTTTACTTAAAAAAAACATCCCAGAATTGCACAAAAATGGCATTGCTCACACTTTATCCATGTACACTGCTAAAGTCCTAGCTAGTAACCTTTTTCGCCTTACCAAACTGTCGCCAAACTACCTGGTACCATATTCCAAAGATTAGCCACGTTGTCTTTCTTGGCGAGCTTCGCGTTGTTCTTGAGTTTCATTTTTTATTGATAGTGCATGTCGTTGACGATCAGCTAATAATCGAGTTTCGCGCTTCTCTCAAGATGCATCCTGTAATATTTTATTTCGTTTATCTAAGCGTTGGCGCTTTTCTTCTTTTGTTTGTTTTGCAAGCTTTTCTTGGTGCTTATGTTTTTATTTCTGAAAGTCTCGTTTGCGTTGTGTTGCAGTTTCTTTTCTCATTCTCCGTTTGCGAAGCAAGGGACATTTTAAAGAGTTATATTTTAAACATATATTATCACGTTAATTTAGAAATATGGGGAGAATTTTCGCTGCATAATGGGACATTACATCCGCTTCATCCAGCTCTATAAAACTAAAATTCTTTAATTCCATACACTTTAAAAATCTTTAGAATTGTCTTACTGTTGCCACTTATTTTTGTTAAATATTACAATCCCATTTATCACCGTCATGTAATATTATTTTTATAAGTTGTTATAAAATTTTTATAGCATGTGAGAATTTCTAATAAACGTTCATTATTTGTAAGTCTTTTAATATATTTAATAAAACCAGCATATCTTTAATTCCGATAAACAGGAATAAAATAAGTAGAAATTGACTTTAATATGTGAAAAAACTATATTAACTTTAAATGTCATCCACTACAAGTTTAAAAAAATGTATTTGAACTTGAGTTAATGAATAAAAAGTATTTCGTTAACGATTGAAAATTTGAACAAGGTATAAGGACAGTGTGAGCTAATAGTAGAAATTTAAAAATATGTAAATACTTTGATCAGCATATTTGAAGAGCGGACTGACATGATTCGATGCACATTTTGTGTAAAATCCTAGTATATGATATTGCCTTGGCGCGATTTTGAAAACTGTCGCCAACACCAAACTAACGCGTTTACTGCTCAATATAATGCACTAAATCCCGCGTGTGGGGTATCACATACCCCAATATTTAAAATACGATAAAAATAATTTTATTTAGTTTTAAAGCTGTTATTCTTGTTCTCGTGTATTATAAATACGTGAATAATAATTGGGTTTCAAAAGATTAATTTTCAAAATAATCTTAGTTAAAATTAAGATAAAGGAAAATAATAAAAAAATAAATGCCTCTAAGTTTCATTGTATCTAATACACAATGCTTATTTTATTTCTTTACACTTTGAACGAAATACATTCATGTGTTCTTGGCACAGAATGTTTTCACATTTTAAATATTGCATTCACGTTCTTCTGTCCTTGGCGCAAGGGCAATTTATCACATCTTTCATACTTAGTTGCTTCGAATTTCATGTATTCGTTTTAATTCTTCGTCGAAACTTCTGCTTTTGTTTTGCAGTTTCTTGGTAAAGTATTAATCTCTGATCTTTTTCAATACGTTTTTCATTAATTGTAATGCTAAGTCCTTCAAAAACAGACTTCTGTTTCTGGTTGGTTGATTAGCAGTTGAATGTTCCGATAAACAGGAATAAAATAAGTAGAAATGACTTTAATTGTGAAAAAACTATATTAACTTTAAATGTCATCCACTACAAGTTTAAAAAAATGTATTTGAACTTGAGTTAATGAAGAAAAAGTATTTCGTTAACGATTGAAAATTTGAACAAGTATAAGGACAGTGTGAGCTAATAGAGAAATTAAAAATATGTAAATACTTTGATCACATTTTGAAGAGCGGACTGACATGATTCGATGCAATTTTGTGTAAAATCCTATATTGATATTGCCTTGGCGCGATTTTGAAAACTGTCGCCAAACCCAAACTAACGCGTTTATGCTCAATATAATGCACTAAATCCCGAGTGTGGGGTATCACATACCCCAATATTTAAACGATAATTTTCCTGTTACTTGTTCTTATTATAAATACGTCACAAGTATCTTAGTCACCTTAAGATTGTATCAAGTTATTTAAAACAAACATGTCTTCTGGAAGGTTAAAGACACATTTTCTTTTTGAGTAACATTATTGTATGTTTTGCCCTTCAAAAACAGACTTCTGTTTCTGGTTGGTGGATTACCAGTTGAATGTAATATAATTCAAGCATTTATTACAGCAACATTCAGTGGAGGAAAGAAAATTACCATTGGACCACCTCCTTGTTATTCTGGCAATTGAATAATTGGCTGATTTCATCCCCCATGTCCACTCTCCCTTTAGTCATATTATCAAATCATAATAATTCCTGATGTTTTATTTTCTCCAACATTATCATCTATAGTATGACCGTTATATAATGTTGAATGCATAAGAACAGTTTTCTTTTTTTAGTAACATTAGGAATTGATGTTTTATCTTTTTCGAAACCAAAACAGTGTAGAAAATATTCCTAGTTTCATCTTCAGTTTCCGAAATGCAATCTTCATCGCTTTCAAATATTTTTAATAAATCTCACAGGCGTTGCATCTCTAACTCATAGGAAGTCATTCTTTTTACCATAATGCGGTTAGAAATTTTTAAGAATTTAATGTCAAATACTTTAAAATCACTTGCGAGTAGAAATATTTACTGTTACACTCTAGAAATAAATTTCTGAACTAAATATTCAGTCAGAAAAACACGCGGACAGGCGCGTGGGACGCGTCATACCCCAGTTCCAGCAAAATACCGATAAATCTTTTCCTGAAGCTCACAGGCAAAGAAAAAGCGGTTCTGGAAGTCATCCACAACTAGAAACTCAGCTACTGAATGCAACACAGAATTTCAGTTTCACAAGTTAGAAATATTCTACTTTTATGTAGAGGTGGGGTATGATACACCTCACGCGCTTCCCCGCGGGTTAATTACTGTGCTAAGAAGATATTGCATCTTTCTTTGAAGATTACATTTACAGTAGTTGTACAGTACATTGTCGAATATGTTGTACAGTACATTGTCGAATATGTTGTACAGTACATTGTCGAATATGTTGTACAGTACATTGTCGAATATGTATTTTCCACTTATTTATGCTGTGAAATCAGCCCATTTTACTCTGGATTCGGAGTAAATGTTCATTTAAGAGAAATTTGAAGTAAATCTTTAACAGGTATGATAATTAGCAGACATGAAGGGAAAAATTAAGTTTTTAACAAGGATTATGTGTCTGCGAACTTTCATATCTTTTACAAAGCCTTTTCAAATATGTTTTAATTAATATAAAATTATTTCATTTCACGATAAAATGTGGTAATTTCGTTAAGAAGAGATAGTTTCGTGATGCATATGATACTCTAAGGTAAAGAAAAAAATGCCAGTAGTAAAATAATTATATTTTCTGTATTTAAGACCAGCGCATTTTTTCATGTTTATGAAGGGTAATATATCTCAACAGATATAATTTTTGTAAATACCCGACTATATATTACAGCGTTTTTGCATTAATCAGTATTAAGGTTTTTATTGAAGCTGAATTCCAGAGATATCAAAAAGAAAACCTTTCGAAAAAAACTAAAGCCAAATGTGGCGACAGCGTGCATGACATGACAAAATAGTGAAATGAAATTATAGATCATTCATATTCCCTCGACCTCTAAATTGTGCTAAATCAAAGGCATTTTGTTTCTCAAACATATGATGAGCTAAAAATCTGCCTATATTGTTACATTGAACATTTTAACCTGCAGGAATAGCTTCCGAATGAAGACTGCTCGTTATCTAACACATAGCTTAGTATTTTGAAATTCTGTACTTAAATCAAATTGAAACTCAATTTATAATTAATCAGTTGATATAAATCTGAGTTAGAAAGGTAACTTTCGCTTTTAAAACTATCTTGATGCAGTAATGTTTCCTGAATCCGTATTAAATTGGATATAGTGAGCTGAAAACTTTTTTTTACATTAGAATATAAAATTGTGGATCGAAATAAAGTGCTTACTAACGTACATAGCGAAAATTTGATACCAAATTAATTAGGAAAGTTAACGCTTGGCATTTGAAAAAAGTACTAATTCGAATATTTTGGATTCGATTTGAACACGTTTTCTCTAAAAGTATCGTATCTTTTCGAAGTCTACATAGCAATTACTGTACAGTCAACTATTTTCAATAATAGTAATAGCATTTCGCGCTTCAAGTTTAACAAATCCATTTATGGACCTCGGATTAGGCACAAGAACGTATAGAACAAATGCGTAGTGATTATTAGAATGAATAAAATGGTAACATTCAGAGCAATTTAGAAGGTATTGCTCAACAAGGTGTTCAAAATAAAAATAATTTTCAATTTTTGTCTATTATCTCTAGAACGGACGGATAAAATTTAATGGAATTTATTATGGGCATAGATTGATTTAATATAAATAATATCGTAAATTCATGGTATACATGCAAAATCGTGCTTAGGTTCATTGGCGCAGGAAGATTCGAAAAGAATCTGCAAGACCGAACTAAAAGGAAGGCTTGCAAGGAGCACAGTTCCCTCTAACAGTTATACGACTCTCACAGCCTCACTTCATACTGGAAAAAAGAATTTGAGTTCGCCTGGCTTTCGGTAGCATTTCTATAGTAACAGAATTACAGGATTGGGGAATCCGGTTGGCCAATACATCTGGTCAAGAACTTCACTTTCGAGAAAAATCATTCAGCAGATTAGCCCATGATGGATGAGTTTTGTCGTCCTTAAAAATAAACTAAGAGCTAAATGGTACACCTAAAAAGAAGAACATTGAGTTTCCAAAATCCCTTCCCTGTTCCTCGAAACAGTCAGTGACTATGTCAGACACGAAAGTCTACGCGCTGGTTCAGTATGATGCTTACCCAGACCCTCCAACCTCCGCTGCTATACTTCCCCCTTTCTTGAATGTTTGACCACAGATATCATCTTCCTGGCTCTCTCCAAATGATGGTACGTTGAGAATCACATCACTCGTAATGTTACTTTGTGAGAACTTTATGACAATTACAGGGGGAATATACACCCTATTAATCCTTCTATTTGTTCGTGCTTGAAACATCTGTTTTAGACTTTCGCTGCTGAATCTTGCGTGCAATCATGTATATGCACTAAGATTATTTTTTTGGTACTGTATGAACGTATATCTACATTAGATTTCATTAAAAACTATCGGTTCTACTTTGTCAGTCCTAAACAAGCGACCAAATAGAAACATTCTTTTGAATTTAAAGACCAGTGTATATCTAGAATTTTAGCTTCAGAGATTTTATTATCCGAGGATAAGTGAAAGTTCCTCTACATGTGACAAAAACTTTACATAAAATAATGGCGGAAAAATATTTTAAACTTCTAACATTAATTATAACTGTTATAGTTTTTCCCCCAGGTAGCAGATGGTGATAATGAATAGTTCGTAACGTTATATTTTCGACGAGCGTTTTGTGGTATTATGCATGGTTTTAGTCCCCGATCAGCAGTACTTTAGAAGTTTCTATAAACGCAGTTCTTTATATGTTAAGAGCTTTAGAAATTGGTATGAAAAGTTTTAAAGAAATTGATACCATTAATGAATTTTGCGCCAACTAGCGGCTAAGCACTGAATATTTGTAGTTCGAAGAGTGTTCTGTTCCTGGCGAATTGGTAAGATATATGGAAATTTTCTTGCTTTTCGCATGCTTAGTCAGAATACAAGCCATTTTCCTTTAGAAAGTGTTTGCAAATGCATACTTTCCCTTAGGCAGATAGCCTTGACACAAACCAAAAATATCTAAATTCTTTACTAGTTGTAGGATGAGACGTTTTGTGGCGATAGTTTGAGAGTGGATTTGATTTATCCTCTTCTTTACTGTGCGGTGGAGATCACTAAATGGCAGAGTTCTTTTTTTGGTACTGCCTTATTCAAAGTTTTTAAAAGACTACTAGAAAATTTCAAAACTTGCACAGGTATTTACGTACTACCCCGTCGACCGTTGGCGCAAATTTCGACAACTGTCGCCAGTCGTTACCGAGAAATTCTAAAAGACTCGGGCATCCATAATTGGCGCTAAATATCGCTCAGTGGCCGGTCGAAGGGATAATACGCAAGTACCCGTGCACAATTTTAAGAACTCAAATTCTTCGAAAACTAACTTATCTTTGATGAAAAACAGTTAACGTTTCTTTAAAAACCATTTTATTCCGGAAGTTAACGGCTGGATGTGGAAACCTTTTCAAGCAGTTTTGTGTACTTTTTCGTGGCGACTGATTTGGCTGGCGCCTTTGAAACTGTCCTTTTTTTTTTTTTTTTTTGGCTAAGCAGTAAAGATATCTTCCAGGGCAGGTTCCAAATTTGGTGGATTCGAAAGAATTGGAAATATGAGAATAAAATTCCTTTCGATGTATATCTTCTTTCTAGTTATGTGAAAACGTATCTACTGAAGTTTTGAAATTTGTGTTGAACGGCATGTTATCGCATTTCTTAAATCCAACTAAATGCAGTTATATAACATTATTTTAATTTAGTTTTCGGAATCCAAATATATTATCTGAAGTAACAGAATATTCAGAATGTTATACAAGTACAGCGGAATTTTAAGTTCTTAATAGTACACTTTATGGGGAAAGTGCAGAATCGCCGACTGCTTGGCGCGTTTTTAAGAATTGCACATACTCTGTATCCACGTACACATCGACCTATTTTCACTTAAAAAAATCCCAGAATTGCACAAAAATGGCATTGAACACTCCCTTGACTTTATCCATGTACACATCAACCTATTTTCAGTTAAAAAGTCGAAGGAAATTGACAAAAATCCAATTCTTCTTACTCTTGTAAAACGCGCCAAACAAACGCCAATCAAATAAGTGGATGATTCTGCACTTTAGCCCACTTTATGATATATATGACAAATATAATAGACACAAATCTTATTACAACGAAAATTATATTTAAAAATGCTTGGCCTTTTAACATTCGTAGCTTATCTATTTTGTTACAAATTTTGTGTGCTATATAAAGTTAATAACTTTACAAGAAAATTAGGTGACACTTGTGACTAACTTCGATATAACAATCATATCTTATTTATGGTTTAACGTAACACCAGGATATGCAACATTTTAAGGGAAAGTTAACTAAAGAAGCCGTCATTTATCAACGACACTTTTACTGTTTGACTATTTTTGAACCACAGGTAATCAGCCCAACGGAGTGCGCATACAATGATGATCGACGTCAGATTCCAGCCTGGCTGTTCCCCAGGACACAAACTATTCTGCAACGAACGGGACTGCGATGTCGCTCTTAACGTAGAGTGGGAAGGCCGGACATATTACTTTCCTGGGCATAGTCTGATTCTGAACACGATGAGCGATGTCTTTCGTACCATGCTGGCATCAGATATGGTGGAAGCGAACAGTAGAGTCATCACCATTCGAAACACCAATCCCAAGACGTTCAAAGAATTACTCAGGTAAAATGTTTGTTTATAACCTCGCTTTGAGCCATGTTAAATTATCATGGCAAAGCACGCAAGATTGATGTTAACACCTTTGCGTGTTTTACATCTGGGAAAACTTCAGTACAGCTAGTCCATTTACTCTGAATCAAAATGGTGTGTAAAGGGTTCAATAATCTTAGCCACTTGAATAAATACGACTTTAGTCATGAAAGCCTTTTGGTAACATAATGTAAGTAACCCTTTAGTAAGCTTTAACTTTTCTATTAGAGTTGCTATATGAGTGACTTATCGTAAACATTTATAAACACTGAATCCAAGTGCTTTTTGGTAAATTTATAGCGCTTCGCGTCGGCCTGTTTCCATGTTAAATTAATTGGACGAAAATTGCAATAATAATTTAGTTTGTGGTACTAAATAGAATGAGTGAAATGAACATTTCAAAAGCAATTTTAAAACTTAATACATTTTTAAGCAAATAGTAAAATTATATTGTAAAATTTAAATAGTATGATTTGTAAAACAATTTTATCTTGAATTGTCCTTAAAACGATTCGGATACATAAAGGTCTTTTGACAACTAAGGCGAGGTAACGGTATCTATGTAATATAAAAAAGGAACTGTGGAAGTTGACAGAAATGGAATTTCATTTCGATAATGTGACCGAAAGAGCATTCATATTTACGTAGAAGGAGACCTGGGTGTCATGTAAATAAGATATTCCGTTTAAATAGGATTATACTAAATTTCTCGGTTAAATTTTCGGGATTATTTGTTGCTTTTTCAATAAAATTTTCTCGACGTTTAAATTTAAAAATTCCTAATATAGATGTATTGGGAAGTAGAAAATCGTTTGTAAATCAATTATATTTACTACTGAGAATGTCGGAGAGAGTTACAGGACGAAAGCGTGTTGCAAACTTTGACCGCTAGACCATGGTCTGCAAAATTTGAATGCAGTAACTTAAAAAAAAAAAAAAAAAATTCGATTCTCAAAAGGGTTTTTCTAAATTCTTTTATAAACGAAATCATTACAGTGTTATTTAAATTTTTAATCTATTTCTTGTTAAGTAGTAGTTCGGAAATTTATGAATCTACCAAATTTGAAAAGCAGTCGGAAGTCTTGGATTTCATGTCTTTCCTCGTGGGTAACGTGAATATGAGCTAATTACCCTTCAGTCCTCCACGAAAGCATCACTTACACAAAGGTCTTCCAGTCTTGAACTTTAAATTTTTCTCAATATATATATGTAAGATAAAGTAAAATGAAAATTAAAATTATAATTTAAAATGCCTCTTAATTGCTCATTTTTAATTTGGGCACTTTTTCTGTAGTAATGACTCTCTCTAAACTGCGTCATATCTGAAAACGTATTCCGCATTATGTCATCTTGAAACTTCTGCAATGCCTGTAAGTTTTAGCCAATCAGATTAATGAAAAAAATTACCATAAATATCGTTGCAATCCTACTACCCTCCCTCTTTCTCTGCCTATGCTTGCTGGCCGAAGGATGTCTCTTGCTTGGCTGTTTTCGTTAAAAAATGTAATGCACCATCATGAAAATTGTGGGGTGTAAATTGCCCCCCCCATTGGGAAGTGCAACAAGTAATCAAGATACCTGGAATAAAGTGATTTTGTGATGCTTCAAAAGTTCCCGGCATCTTCTGCTACGTAATTGATATTTTCAGTGATCTTCTAATCGTCAATCCACTCGAGACTGCAACATGTCTTCCCTAGTCATCTTTCGTCAGGGCCCACCAGCGGCCGAGCGGTAAAGTCGCTGAACACTGGTAGTTCGGTCCGAGGTTCGAATCCCGCGAACGTGCTGGCTGCATGGGCGTTTTCGTGGTTTTCCCCATGTGTAGCGTGTATACGAGCCAGTTTTCCTTAGAAAGTCCTCCACGAAGGCATCCCTCCCCTTAGGCAGATAGCCCACGAGGCTTTGCCGTAATCACACACACACACACACACACACACACACACCTTTCATCAATTTACTGCATTTTACTAAATCTTATCATCACACACACACACACACATAGATATATCAATAGGCTAAAAATTCGAATAATTTCTTTTTAAAATCCGTCCTGCGCTATTAATATTATTATAAGAGGAATTCCTTTGCTTTTATTCTAATTTACTAATTTATTTAGATTCTTTAAGTTTATACGTATATAAATTTACTCATCTAGAAATGCACAAGAGCCCACCAGCGGGCGAGCGGTAAAGACGCTGAACACTGGTAGTTCGGTCTAAGGTTCGAATCCCGCGAACTTGCTGGTTGCATGGGAGTTTCGTCGTTTTCCCCATGTGTAACATGTTAACGAGCCAGTTTCTCTTAGAAAGTCCTCCACGAAGGCATCCCTCTCTTTAGGCAGATAGCCCTCGTGTGCGTTGCCATAATTGAATAATTCAATCCAATCCTAGAAATGCATAAGATAACGGAAGACAGTTACATGGTTACGGTTTGCCTTCATATTAGACATATGTGTAGTCCCACGCACCCCGCTGTGTAAAGAAAATGCAAAGGAATGCAAAGGAATTTTAGTGGGAGTGATGTTAAATAAATAAAATAAAAACTGAAAGCTTTCAGATTTTACATTACGCCCAAAGAGGCGTTTTTTATACGCCTCTCACGTACACGTTTCGAGAGAATTTGGGCTGATGTCTCTTTGGACTAAAAATATTTAAAAACAGCATATCTTTGAAATTTCCGATGGACAGTCTCGCGAGCTGGAGGTAACCATGTTTTATTCCCGTTAGTTTTGCCACTGCTCACTTTGAAATCGTTGAGATTCTTGATCAAAAATCATTAAGTTTACAAAATATGAAACAGACAAAATTCCAAATTCGGGGTTCCAGGTGCTCATATTCGGGTGGAGGACTACGTTATTCTGAGTTTGATGACTCTTTGTACCGTCACGTTTTCACACTGAGAGAAACATACAAAAACTCCTGCAGATTCTTCCTTATGTAATTTCTTTAAATGTAATACAGAGCAACAATATTTGGTGGCAAAAATTTGAAAAGTGATATAACGTTTTTAGGGATTCAACGCAAAATACCGTTACGAGACTAATATCCCTTCTTGGCTAACATTATTTGAACTAACGAAAAATAAAAAAAAAAAAAAAAAAAAAAAAAAAAAAAAACGAAAACTGCACATTACTACAGGGATGTACTGTAAAACTCCGAAAAAGGAGAAACTAAGTGACATCACACAGATCTAGCCCATGTGCTGTCAGTGATGATATCCAGGACAGCCTTGATTTTTGGGATAAGCGGCTGTTGTTTGATAATATAGCTTTGGTACGGGATTCTGTAATCTGTATTTGTCCGAAATCTGCATTTGTTATCTGTCATTTGTCCGAAAATCTGAGGGTGGTTGGATGTCAGTTGACATCCCGTACCACTACAGATACACTAATCCATAGTGCTTAGGCATCGTTTATGAAAATAGACTGGAAATGTGCCATGACCTGTAATACAGCATGTTAGCTGAGTAGAGTGGAAGAACAAACAGGCGCGGGGGACTTGCGGTGCCTGATCGCATCCGTTTTGCCATTTCGATTTAGCCAAATTATTGCCGACTCTATTGAGTGGCAGTATGGTAGAGGCAGATGTTTCGAATTCATACCAATGCTGCGAGCTCCCTACTTTGCCAGAAATACATAACAGTAAAACGTTAGTAAATATTCTGTACATAAATGGAAAAAAAAATTCTTTAAAAACGAGATTTTGATCGCCTGTGATGAATCTTCTGATGAAATTTTGAATTTCGTGAAATCCGCAAAACACCGTTGGTCGCCAAACACGGGAGATTTCTGAATTTTGAGTTCCCATTGCGCATTGGTTTAGAAATTAATTTTTATATTACGTACATCTAAGTAAGCAGAAATATTTCATTACTTGTGTATTGCTGCTTTCAATAATTTCAGTCTTTTATCTTAAAGTATTAGTAAATTTTCCTATAGAACTGCAATCTGCACTTGTTTGAGAACTCTGTTTTTCAGGGAAAAATATAGTTAATTTTAGATTTCAGAGAGAAGCATGTGAAATTAACTGCTAAATAACCTATAGATGTAACAAACATAAAATGAAAAAAAAAAAAAAAAAAAAAAAAAGCTTCAATTACCAAAGGTAAACTTTCTCACAGGATCCTCCGAGAAAAATGATACTCGTATATTACTGCGTCGACCTTGAAATTTGGCACAAATCGAATCATAAAAGTCGAAAGCGGTCACTATTAAATTGCGCCAAACGTTATCTAAAATGATATGATTACAAACTTCCTGCAAGGTAATTGCGCCAATCTATCGTTGTTTTATCTGCCGTATTCTCGACTATATCGTCTCGTGTTCATTAATACATACCTCTTAATAGTAGGATCCTGTAACTTTGAAAATAATACTCTACTTGTTTGTTGTGTAGAATGCAGGTCTAAAAGTTGAATGATTGTTTTCAAAATGCAAGGAAATGTACAACGGCAGCTAATTTATATATTCTTGCTCGGAAAACAACGCGACATAGCGACAGTAAACCGGCTTTGCATCGAACGAAAGATGGATACGTGCCAGTTTCTCTTAGAAAATCCTCCAAGAAAGCAGCCCTCCTTTTACGACGATAGCCCCCAGAGGGCTTTGCCATAATCACATAAACCCAAAAATTATCAAACGGGAAATGTATTTGTTACGAGTGTGTTGTCGCGTCACGCTAATGCATAACTGGCGCTAAATCACGCTGCTTGGAGGCTGTTTCAACGTGTCGACGGATAATGTAAAAATATCCGAGCAGTATAAAAAGTATTAAAAGATGTATTTTAATATTCAAAAGTTTTTCCGGTATATTGCTGTTTTTTAGACATTTCAGGAATAATTTGTAAATATAATTTTATTATTGAAACTTGTTAGTTAGGTATTTTATGTTACATTTAATTTGACAGATTCATTGCACATATTCATTGACACATTTAAGATTGAACTATTTGTTTATTTGGTACTATTCGGTTTC